TGTAATTAGTTTATACCAAGAGCTAATGTTTATAAAGCACTGCACTAAATGCTTTACCCAATAATGTCATTCATCCCCACAACTCCAAGGATCTATGTCATCGTTGCCATTATGCAGATAAGGAAACAGGATTAGACAAGCGAAATTATTGATCTAGGGTCATTGAGCTACTAAGGGGCCGGCGGGGATGGAAATCAAACGTAGGACTTTATTTGGCTGTCTGCTTTGAAGCCCAGGCTCTTAACTACAACACCAAGATACTTTCTATTAAATGTGCAAAAAAATAGATAGGGATATTATATTTAAGCAAAAAATAAATAAATAAATAAAGTTGGAATAGTGACCTGTAAGGTGTGTATTGCCAGATCAGTGTGGCAGGAGAGTTCTACAGTGTGCTGAGATATTGATACCCTTTAGACCCTGAGGTCAGAAGCACTGGTATAGCAACAGATCTTGTTTTTCCACCTCATTAACATTCCTATGGATTTAGGCTCCCCATCCTTAACCCTGGCCCACAGGTCATAATCAGGTGGGGGCCCTTTAAAAAAAAATAGATGCCTGATCCCCACTCCAGTCAATTATATCAGAATAAATGGGGGTGGGCCCCATGCATCCAGGTGACTTTAAGATACAGTGCTCAGAAGAAGTAGAACAAAAATTAAATAATATATTAAAAGTTTGCTTTTCCACAAAGTAGATTGCTACCTATAAAGCAAGAATTATAGCATAGTAATCTAAATAAACTGCATTCAAGAATCTCTGGCCTCCTAGAGTTTTTAACCAAATTATAACTCAAGCTCCAACTGTTACTCTTTTGGATCGATAGAGCCTTGGATAGTAAGTGTTGCAAAATCAATTTGTTCATGTTTACTCACGTTCTTTTTGGTGGATGATGATGATAACTGCCAAATAAATTCGAAGGGAGGAGAATTAGCTACCCATGTACTACCTTGCTATGAGTTGTAATGAAAGCAAATTTCAGACTAAATTCTGCATATACATTATTAAACAAACATACATGGGCAAGCATATAACAATAATTTGCCAACCTGTCCCATGAGCTCAATGAAGTCCCAACTCTAGGTACTTTTAGGTGCTCCCATTCACCCTGCATGAAAGGCTCACTGAGGAAGACAGCAACGTTCCCTGGTAGGTGCTGTGCCCTGTTAGAGGTGCACTCCATCAGAAACCCACCTAAAGACTGAACACTGCACTGATTTGAGATCTAGTTTCAGACACCATTCTAGTGTTAAGTTAATTATACACCTAGTAGATTCACGTCCGGTTCATACCTGGGGGTGGGGTGGCGAGGGTATTGGAAGTGTCTCTAAACTGTTTTAGCAATCCACATATTTAAAATACCTAGAATTTCACCAGTGAGGCCAGGCCCAGTGGCTCTTGTCAGCAATTTGGGAGGCTGAGGCAGGAGAATCATTTGAGCCCAGGAGTATGAGACCAGCCTGGGCAACATAAGAAGACCTCACCTACACAAAAAAAAATTAAATAGCTGGGTGTGGTAGTGCATGCCTGTGGTGCTAGCTACTCAGAAAGCTGAAGTGGAAGGATCAATTGGGTCCCGGAGGTCAAGGCTGCAGTGAGCCCTGATCACACTGCTGCAACCCACCCTAAGTGACAAAGCGAGACTCTGTCTCAAAAAAAATTCACCAGTGAGATCCCATTTCTAACATTTATCTATTTACTTATTATTTATTTATTTATTTACTGAGACATAGTCTGACTCTGTCGCCCAGGCTGGAGTGCAATGGTGCTATCTCTGCTCACTGCAACCTCCACCTCCCAGGTTCAAGCAATTCTTTTGCCTCAGCCTCTCAAGTAGCTGGGATTACAGACATGCGCGACCACATCCGGCTAATTTTGTACTTTTAGTAGAGATGGGGTTTCACCATGTTGGCCAGCCTGGTCTCAAACTCCTGACCTCAAGTAATGTGCCCACCTCAGCCCCTCAGAGTGCTGAGATTACAGGAATGAGCCACCATGTCCCGCCCCATTTCTAACATTTATTATGCTAATTAAAAGTTTTTCATTTTACCAGTCAAACTCATTTTGACATTTAGAATGCTGTCAAAGCTTCTGTTGTTGTAGAGAAATTGATCTTTGAAGAATCTGAAGTGGCTAGGAGTGTGGCCTTTTCTGGTATAATGCTAGCTGGCCATTCAGAGAATATATTAGCTGACCAGCTATCTCTAGTAACAAAACTTCAATTGCACATAAATTATGTCACCCTGATTATCATTTAAATTACAGCCATTCTAACAACGGCATTGTGTCACACAGGGACCATTTAGTACTAAGTATATCAGGTTTTATTTTACTATTTTATATCACTTGGTGGCTAATAGAAGACAGTAACTGTGTATGCAAAGTTATGAAGTATATGAAGTTATCCGGTTTATTTGGAAGGTGGTGATACTGAGCGTGTTACCAATGCATGGGCCTAAGATTGAATTCTTTCCATAGCTTAGATTACAGATGACCTCATGCTAATCAGCCTCGTCTTACTCCTAGAGTCACTCAAGAAGCTCTGGGAGTTTCCAGACACTAACACCAGTGAAGCTTCCAAGGACAAAGTTAATGACTTTTCTATTAAAAATTAGGGCTGGGCACAGTGGCTCACACCTGTAATCCCAGCACTTTGGGAGACAGAGGCAGGAGAATCACTTGAGGTCCAGAGTCTGAGACCAGCTTGGCCAACATGGTGAAACCCCGTCTCTATTAAAAATACAAAAATTAGCTGGGTGTGGTGGTGCACACCTGTAATCCCAGCTCCTTGGGAAGCTGAGGCAGGAGAATCACTTGAACCCAGGAGGTGGAAGCTGCAGTGACCTGAGATCGTGCCACTGTACTAAAGCCTGGGCGACGGAGTAAGATCGTGTCTCAAAAAAAAAGAAAAAAAAACCCAAGTTATTTGCTCTTCATACTTGCATCTATAACTTTCTTGAGTTAAGGAAGTTAGATTGGTAGTCTTAATTAGCACTGTCTTTAAATTTTTTGTCTTTATTCATAAAGCCAAATTGAGATCATTTTTTGTGCATTGCCAATTGAAGGGTACTTCTGAAAAAAAAATCATTAAAACCCATATTATTTTGCACTCTGTCTTCGAAAGCAAATTTACATTTTTACCACTTCCTAAAAGGAAATGGTCAATTTTTCAGATTTTTAAAACCAACGTTGGCCGGGCGCTATGGCTCATGCTTGTAATCCTAGCCCTTTGAGAGGCTAAGGTAGGTGGATCACCTGAGGTCGGGAGTTCGAGACCTATCTCACCAACACGGAGAAAACCCGTCTCTACTAAAAATATAAAATTAGCTGGGTGTGGTAGCACATGCCTGTAATCCCAGCTACTCGGAAGGCTGAGGCAGGAGAATCGCTTGAACCTGGGAGGCAGAGGTTGCGGTGAGCCAAGATCGCGCCATTGCACTCCAGCCTGGGCAACAAGAGTTAAACTCTGTCTCAAAACAACCACCACCACCAATATTTGCTGAGCAACCATGGTAGACAAAGCTATACACAGATCCAAATAGATGGCAAAGGGAAGAAAACCCTTGACAGACACTAAACAAATGTCAGAGTGTGTATCAAACCGAAGAGAAAGGGCCAAGTTACAAAATGACCAACAACATTTTTAGCAAGCCATAATGACATGGTCTTTCTTTAGAAATTGCCATTGAATAACTTCCCAGAATATTTTCAGACACAAAGTAAAAGTAAAAATCAGTACTTACCTCTAAAACAGGTTATAATATGGGCAAAAGTTATACGCAATAAAACAGCCTTTTTATTGTTGGTAGTAAGTGGGCATAAATACAGCTGTCACACTTTTACGGGAAGAGGCAGAGTTCTCAAGGTCAGCTCCTTGAGACATCCTTCCTTTCCTGCATTAAACAGTGGCAGCATCCTGTAGCCAAATCCTTGAGCCAAAATCTTCCCAAGGTTTCATTATGACTAAAGAAGCCCAACTTGAGGATGCAAATATTTGGGTTTGGTGGTAAGCAGAGTCCTATATTGCCACTTCCTTTTCTGGGTCTGCCATTAACCTGTATTACAAGTGCAAACCACTTCAACTTCTCACTGAGTTTTTATCTGTGCCACAGGTGCTGTTTAGTGGTATTCCTATAGAAGGAACTGTATACTGAAGCAATCAATTAAGTCTGGCAAAGAACAGGTGTTCAAGGTGCAACAGGAACATTAAGAATTATTATTAACTCAAAGTTCCTTGTGTGTGCCAAAAGTCAGTGATAGGAAATTTAATGTTTAATTCCTCTTTTTTTTTTTTAAGACTTCAACTGCCGAACATCCAGCTAAAGCTTTCCACAGCTGAGGAGCAAGGTAAACCACAATGCACTAGAATATGCTTTGCTGAAGATTTACGTGAAAGTTAAAATGTGTAATTTAATATACAAACATACAGCAGAAAACTTGATAGTTAGTGCTGGAGTCAGCAAGACTGGCCTAGAAAAAGCTGAACCAGGAGCAAAATTTACAGGGGTGCAAAAACACTCAGTAATCGAGACAGATAATATTTTAATGCAATATTTTTTAAATTCAAAATTAATATTTAAAAATCCACGATGAACAAATCATCACATTATAAAAAAAATTTTAAATAAAGAAGTGCTGGACATAACAATATAAGACCTAGAGGCAAATAAAAAAAAATACCAATCCTATCTTTATTTAACATTTTGATATTTTCTTCATCATTTCTTTCTTGGCATTGGTTCTGAGTCCTTTAGGTATTGCATTAAAGTATTGTTCATCTTGATTACTGAGATTTTTAGCGGCCGCTTACATTTTGCCATAAGTGCCAGCGTCTAGCTCAGCTCACCCTAGTCAGGGCCCTAAGAGTCAGTACCAGTCCCTAGAAAAGACTGCAAGAGCAAACCCGGCCATCTGGGGACCTCAGTGGTGTGGGCCGATTGTCCCCAAGGGAAGGGCTAAAGGCAGATGGGCTCCTGCCTGTGGGCCAGATCCCAGCCTACCTCGCTTATTCTGCGTGCCGTGCTTCTTGGCCAGGGCGATTTCTCTTTGGATTCGATTTTCCAGGTACTCTTGTTTCTTGCCCAGCATCTCCTCAGTCTCCCGAAGTCGGGCCAGGGCCTCCTGGGGACTGGGAGCGGCTCGGCTCTTAGAAGAGCCGCCCCCTTTAAAGAACTTGCCCAACTTGCTCATTGCTGTGGAGTTGGGAGGGCGAGCGATCCCGGGGACTTGTCGGGAGCTCCCCGGGGCCGTGCCGAGGGGACAGGTGAGCAAAGCAGTCCTCTCGGGGACCCAGACCGGAAAGGCGGCGCTCCTGGGAATCAACAAGTCGTCCTGGACAGGTGACACACACTCCAGGGCATTTCCTGGCTGCCAACTCGGCCCCGCCCCGCGGCACAGCTGCTGGGCGGGGAGGGCACCGCTGGGACGTCGGCTGGCCGGCGCCACCCAGCCCTCTGGGAGTTGAGGGAGAGCAGAGAAAAGTTGAAAAGACCGAAAAAGACCGTGGGAAGCTGGCTTAAACCACACTAGGGACTCTCCCAGGAACGAGGAATTAGTTTGTGAACGGCTCAAAGAAAAGCAAATCGATGTCCAGGGGTCTTGTGCAGGACCTGAAAGTGTAAGTGCACAAGGCTGGATATGCAAAATACTTTATTCCATGCGTGTCTTTTATGTGTGTGTGAGCATAGTGTTCCTGTATTCGGGCCTCTGTTCTTGTGAATAATATTCAGATCTTTTCCTCTAAGTGTATGTCATGTAGGTATGAGTGTGTGGACACAAAGGCTTCCAGGATATTTGTCTGCCGCTAGGATGCAGGTGTGTGGGCAACCTAGGAGCAGTTGCTCCTACTGGGCTTGTTTCTGCATTTGGTAGTCTGGGCAGGTTGATGTGTGCCTGGCTGCTAGTTGGCACAAAGTAGATTCTAGATCATCCTTACAGGACTTGAAGTGGGTTAAAGATGGTGGCCATCTCTTTTCCTAATGTCAGGACTTCTGAAGTGTGTTGGTGGTTGGACTCAATTCTATAACTAGGAATCTGAAGTTTTCTGAATGATCGTCAATGTATCAAAAACCTTAAATGGGGCTGCCTTTGTGTTTGGCTCTGTGTCAAATGCCATTACATAGAAACCTAAGGAACAAAAAGTAGAGAATATCCTGGAGAAGAGAAACATTCTTTTGTTCATGCTCGCTTTCTTAGTCCCATCTATTAGATCTGCTGGCAAAGAATTTGGTAAGATGAAAGGACAGCCATATGTAATGCTTATAGATGATGCAATACAACTGCAAACCTGTGCCAAGCACACTACAAAGAAGTGGAATTGTCTGTTTTAGTTTTCAAGGATTGCCATGTGTTCTGCATAATACAGCCCTATTTGAGCAGTATTACCCAACATCATCAGAACCTATTTGTAATTGTTAGCCGGCCACTGTTTAAGAAAAAAAAAACACCCATTCCTCTGACAAATTCACCTTGATACACAAGATCGATAACCCAATTTTGTCTGCAAGCATACAAACACAAAGCCACAAGTTAATCTATTTATCCAACATTGGCATAGATAGCATAAAATTTTGCCAAAGAAATTGAACACGTTCATAGGAGGCTTATGGTATACATCTTCTAACACACAAACATGTGAACTCATCATTTCACAGTAACTGCAGCCAGCCACCTCCTATCATTTCCTGGCTGGCCATGTAAAGCATGTATGGTCTATAACACACATTTTGCTCTAATTTCATGTGTATTATAAGTTGTAATAAGTATTATTTTTCTTTATTATCTAAATATTTCATAAATATGTCTTGGAGTGTATTTTCTTGATTAGAATTGTAAGGCCCTTGAGAGTTGAGAAGTAGCACATATTCTGCTATGGTTCCCATTGCTAGTCAGTTTAACCAGCCTTTATTGAGTGTAAGGTATGGGGAATGCAAGTATAGTCTGCCCTCTAAGAGCTTACTTTCCAGTGACAGTAATAACAGCTGCCATCTTTTGAGCACTGACTATGTGTCAGGCTTGTCAATATACATATGCTTATCACTAATCCTTACATAAACCCTGCAAAATAGGTATTGCTATTTCTGTATGACAGATGAAGAACCCAAGGCTCAGTTGATAGCCAAATTTAACAGGCAGCAAAAGTGAAAGAGATCTTTCTGTTTGAAAACGCATGGTCTTTTCACTATTTACATGATGTTATTTCCCTCTGTGCAACTTGGACTAGAGGAAAAACTCATTAAGTATTTGTTTAATTAAATAGCATGGGGTGAAGAGGTAATTATTAGGCATTATCTTTAAGGGATCCTCCAAGCATTATTGAATTCATGGAGGAGTACACTGAAATAAGAACTTATCCAGAATACTAAGGCATTCTTTTGGGGTTCATTAATTACTTTTTTTGTTGTGAGAACATTGGACAGTAGAACAGAGAGACAAAGTTATAACTGAGGAGTTGCTTAATCCACACATCCATGGTTTCATTCAACTGATGCTTATGAGTGTCTCTATGATCCAGGCATTGTGCTAGTGTTGGGGATACAGGTAAGAGTAAGAAACATTGTCTGTCCCAACAGAGCTTACAGCTCAGGGGAGAACACAGAAATTAAGCAAATTATCTCACTAATAATAAACTTTATAAGTTGGAGTTCTAATAAACTATATAGAAAAGTATAGGATCTATAAAAATAAATAATAGAGGAACTCGATCTTGTCTTAGGGTCATAGAAGAGCAGCCTGAAAAAGTGACATTTAAGCTAGAATTTGAATGATGAATAGAAGTTACCTGGCTTTAGAGAAGGGAAGTTTTTATTCCATTATAAGGAATTCTTTATTCATTTATCAATTTATTCATTCATTTATTCATCACTTTTAGATGTAGAGATTCAGCAGTGAATAAAAAGACGAAAATACATTCATTTTTGGAGCCTACTTTCTAGCTAAGGGAAGATGGAGAATTAAGAAAGCAATGTACTATGTGTACTATATTTTTAATAAAGCAAAGAATGTTGGAGAATTAAAACTTTTAAACAACATGTGCAAAAATCTTGAGTCTGAAGTACTAGGGGTTGAGAAAAGGTCAGTGTCGCTGGGGCTTAGAGACAGAAGAGGAGAGTAGGAGAGTGTGGAGAGGTCGCCTGCAAAGGTATACAGAGTCCAGATCACATAAGGTCCACATGATGTGCTATGGATCCTGTATTTTATTCAAAAAGCAAATGAAAATCAATCAGACATTAAAACAAAGAAGCTAGTCATTAATTTGTAATTCAATAGGAAAAAATAATCAATTTAACCAATTTAGTGTGTAACTCTTTCAGAAACACATGTGGTGTGCAAAGCCAGATACTTTTAAATTAAAAATCATTTCCTTCCATTAATACATAAGCTCAAAGAGGAAAAAATAATACTTGCAAGCAAGTAAACCAACCAAATATGTATTAGTGTTTAATCCAGCAGTGGGATGTAGAAAATAAATTTTTAAATCAGTGATTTAGAAGCCAAAAATAACACATTAATCTTCATTCAATACTCATCCTACAAATGTGGTTTCATAAAGAGTTCTTAGCATCTAGTGTATTTTTCATTTTCTAATCTCAATTGATCTCAGCTAATAAGGAGGCTGTTGTTCAAAAGAAGGATCTTGTTCAGGATGATTTACCATGGTTAAGAGGGCAAAGGAAATTGGAAATTTACAGATCTGTTAAAAAGACCTAGCTGTCAGGCTAATTGATACATTTTGGCCACCCCCTGAAATTACGTCCATTTTTAGAATGCCAAATGAACTCTCTAAAGCAACAGAAGAAGGATAGCCTTTAAACATACTGCAGAATCATCATCAAATAGTTATTTATTAAGCAGCTCAACAAGCATGTACGCATTCTTTTTATCAGCAGTTCTGTTTCTTAGAACCAAATATCCATCGTATATAATACTCAGTCACACTTGAGTACAAAAGTCACTATGATTTAAAAAATTATAATTTTGCAAAATTAAAAGTTTGATTATCATAATTCATAATGAAGGTAGATGGTGCCTATGACTGGGTTTTGCCTGCATAGCTCTTTATTCATGTGTTTCATACCTTTGTTCATCCTTGATCAGAAAGAAGTTAAAGATCCTAAGGTTCAGCTGGGCACGGTGGTTCACGCCTGTAATCCCAGCACTTTGGGAGGGAGGCCAAGGCAGGCGTATCACCTGAGGTCACGAATTCGAGACCAGCCTGGCCAACATGATGAAGCACTGTCTCTACTAAAAATACAAAAATTAGCCGGGCATGGTGGTGGGCGCCTGTAATCCCAGCTACTCGGGAAGCTGAGGCAGAGAAATGGTTGCACCTGGGAGGCGGAGGTTGCAGTGAACCAAGATCATGCCACTGCACTCCTGCCTAGGTGACAGAGCAAGACTCCATCTCAAAAAAAAAAAAAATCCTAAACTTCATTAGACTTAAATGTACCATTTAATGGATATAAAGTGAAATATAGCCCCCACCTCAATGTTACTCTTACTGCATTACCTACTTAAAATTGATTTCTACACTTTCCTTTACCTCTAGAGTTTCACTATCCCTGAGTACAATCACATGAGATTTGTACCTAATCAAGAAATACACCTAATCTTTCCAATCCTGCTCCTCTACCTCTTGGTTAATAACTCCAGGCTTCCCTTTTCTCAGGCCAAAAACCTTGGAATCAACCTTGACCCACATCCCATCCATCACCAGATCCCGTGAGTTCTAACTATGATGGAAACCTGCCCACTGGCCACCACCGATATAACTAGCACCATGCTTCAAAACACTGTCATCTCTCACCCAGATTATCCCACTAGACTTCTGACTCTTCTACAAATACCTTGACCCTATTACAGCCTCCCTACATAGCAAACAGGTGGAGACGGAGACGAAAACCTCCAGTGACTTCCCACCTCACTCCAATTATAAGCGAAGGTCTTCACAAATGTCTTCAAGCCCCTACATGCAGTAATACTGACCCCTAAGTTTACTTCACCTGTGTCTCCCTATCCATACATCCCCATCTACTCTGCTCCAGCCACACCGGTGTCCTCACTTTGGCTGGAGTACACCAAGCATACTGTCATTGCACAGGCTGCTCCTCTGCCTAGAAACCTGCCACCAAACACCTATTTCATTCCTTTCTTCACCTTCTTTAGATCTTTATCCCATTTTTGTCCCACCATATCAGAAACTGCAACCCTATTGTCTCACTTCTGTACCCCAAAAGAACTCTAATCCTCTTTCTCAGCTTTATTTTTCTCCATAGTACTTACCACTATCTATCTTACACTGTTTTGCATTTTTAAATTTTTATTTTCCATTGCTTCCCCACCACCCCCAGAATCCTGGCCCTGAGAGCGGGAATTTTTA